CCGAGTCGATGACGGGGCCCCTGCTATCCAAGCATGGGGGGGGGGGGGCGATGAAGAGGAGGAGGAGGAGGTGGATGAGGAGGAGGAGGGGGAATACGATGATGATGATGCTGATGATCATGATGGTGATGGTGATGGTGATGGTGATGATGATGATGGTGATGATGGTGGTGACGATAATGGTGATGATGATGATGCTGCTGATGGTGATGATGATGATGATGGTGATGATGATGATGATGATGATGATGATGATGGTAATGATAGTGATGACGATGATGAGGAGGAGAAGGGGGAGGAGGAGGAGGAGGAGGAGAAGGAGGAGGAGGAGGAGGAGGATGAGGAGGGGGGGGAGGAGGACGAAAAGGAAAAGGAAAAGGAGGAGGAGGAGGAGGAGGAGTAGGAGTAGGAGTAGGAGTCAAGCTAGCCAGCTCGAGCGAGTCAAGCATGGCATGCCCAGTCCCACCCGCCCTCCCACAACATAAGAAGCAAAGCTGGCACAACTGGGGACCGAAGTCACACCGGCCAGCCGGTTTGGTACAGCTGATGCGGCCGCGATGGCGGTTGCCGACGGGAACTGGCGAGCGCGTGTTGAATGCCGCGCACGCATTGCCAGACGAGTCGAGAATGGCCCGGTACACCGCAGGAAGCCAGAGGTGGCCGGAGGAAGCCCGACGGTCTGACAGGACACCCCAAAACATTTTTGTGAAAAAGCATTGGGTTTTTGATGTTTTTATGTTGAAATGCTTGCAAACACACGGTGTTCGGTAGGATTCTGACATGAACGCGCGAGTGTGCTCTTTGTGGTATTTTTTGCACAGGATTCGCGGCCTGGGTGCATGACAGAGCATCGCGAGTGCACCGCGCGATGACGTGAAATCGCTGGATTTGACCGAATTCTTAAGATTCCTATGGTTTTCCTATGATTTCAGCAAGAGAGCCCGGGCGGGAAATTTGTACAATTTTTGTGAAAAAGCATTGGGTTTTTGATGTTTTTATGTTGAAATGCTTGCAAACACACGGTGTTCGGTAGGATTCTGACATGAACGCGCGCGTGTGCTCTCTTTGTGGTATTTTTTGCAATGGATTATCGCCGTGGACGACAGGACGTCCATGTCGAGAGGAAAACATAAGAAACATTTTGATTTTGTATTGTTTTTTTACAGGTTAGGATGGGACCACCCGGATGCGCCCGCTATCTGCCGGCCTGAGGGGGGAGTAGGAGTATATTCTAATAAGGAAAATAAGGATAGGAGGAGGAGGAGGAGGAGGAGGAGGAGGAGGAGGAGGAGGAGGAGGAGGAGGAGGAGGAGGAGGAGGAGGCGGAGGAGGAGGAGGAGGAGGAGGAGGAGGAGGAGGAGGAGGAGGAGGAGGAGGAGGAGGAGGAGGGGAGGAGGAAGAGGCCTGAGAGAACAGGAACAGGAACAGGAGGAGGAGGAGGAGGAGGAGGAGGAGGAAGAGGAGGAGGAGAGGAAAGAGGAGGAGGAGGAGGAGGAGGGAGGAGGGGGAGGAGGAGGAGGGGGATGTGGGAGGGGGAGGGGGTATGCGGATGAGGGGTTTGCAATGACGAGGGTGAGGGAAGGAGTAGGAGGAGGACGAAAAAGGACGGGGAGGACGAGGTGGCGGAGGAGGGTGGGGAGGGATAGGGATAGGGATAGGGATAGGGAGAGGGTAGTGGAACGGGAGGACGAGTAGGGCGTGGAGGGGGAGGAGAAGGAGGAAGGAGTGGAGGAAGGGTCGAAGGAGGAGGAGGAGGAGGAGGAGGAGGAGGAGGAGGAGGATCAGGATTATGATGATGCTGATTATGATGAGGATGCTGATGATGACGATGCAAATCTTAATGGTGATTCTGATGATGATGCATATGAATTTGATGAGGATGCTGATGATGATGGTACAGATGATGGCGATTATGATGCTGATGATGTTGGTGCTGTTGTTGATGCTGATGACGATGCATATACATATGATGATGGTCGCGATGGTGATGGTATTTATTATGTCAATGATGGTGACATGATGGTGCTGCTGATGATGATGGTGATAATGATGATGGTGGTGCTGGTGATACTGATGATGATGCTGGTGATGATGATGATGATGATGATGATAATGTTCATGGTGATCATGTTGCTGATGGTGATGGTGATGGTGGTGGTGGTGACGATGATGATGATGATGATGATGATGATGATGATGATGGTTCTGATGATGTTGATGGTGATTCCGATGGCGATGATGGTGATGCTGATGATTCTGATTCTGATGATGCTGCTGCTGATGATGATGGTGATGATGGTGATAATGATGCTGCTGATGATGATGATCATGATGATGATGATAATGCTGATGATGATGCTGGTGATGACGACGGTGATGGTGATGATGATGATGATGAGGATGATGATGATGATGGTGATGATGGTGATGATGGTGATGATGATGATCATGGTGGTGGTGGTGATGATGGTGGTGGTGGTGGTGATGGTGATGGTGACGATGATGATGAGAATGGTGATGATGGTGCAGATGATGATGCTGATGATGATGATGAGGAGGAGGAGGAGGAGGGCGTCTTTCCCTCACGCTGCTGCTGTTGACCTGCGCGGAATATGCACACGTCCTTGCCTCGGTGTGTCCTTGGTGGGCAAGTACTGGTGCTGCTTGATCGTTCTCCGCTTGTGGATGGCGGTCCCGGGCGGTTCCCTGGCACCCGTTCTTTCTCGAGGAGTCCCCCCACTGAATCCGCTGGTTGGCATTCATTACGCGCAGCGCAAAGCCATTGCTTGCATATCTGAAGGGTTTCGCCCTCTGCCGCTTGCCCCCCCCTCAGATTTCTTGCGTGGCCACGCCTAATTGGTTGGCTGGTCGGTTGCCTTGTCTGTTGGCTGGTTGGCGATTCGGTGGCTTGGCTTTTGTTGTTTCAACGGGCGGATGGCAGTCAGTTTGGACGGCTTGCTGGCTGGCTGGTTGCGCGCGTCTGTAACAAGGGAAAACATATGGTTGCTTCGGAAGGGCGCATCTGTCGTAATTCGCGCGGAATGGTTGCCTAGGAAGTCGGAGGTTTGGGGGTGAGATCGCAGTGGGACGGAGACCCCCAACCGGGAAGTCGTTTCGTTCGTGCCGTCCGTGCGGGCGAGGCGAAGCTGCGCGGGCGCACCCTCTGAATTGTGTCGCGTGCGCGCTCGTGGTTTCGGAATCCCTTGAGTAAGTTGCGACACGCGCGCGCTCCCGAGGCCACCAGTCCTTGCATTGCATAACAAATGAGCACCTATACGACCACCCTTCGGATGATAAGGAGGTTGTGGGTGGGGTGGGGAGAGGAGGGGAACCAACATCTGACTCAATCGATTTCACTATCGATCTCACTCAACGGGACACCACGGGACACCACGGGACACCACGGGACACCACGGGACACCTCGGGACACCACATCGACCTCAGTATCGATCTCACTATCGATCTCATTATTGATCTCATTCAACGGGACACCACGGGATACCACGTGACACCACGGGACACCACGGGACACCTGTCGATCTCACTATCGATATCACAATCGATCTCACTTTTTGGGACACCACGGGACACCACGGAACACCTCGGGGCACCACATCGATCTCAGTGTCGATCGCACTATCGATCTCACCGTCGATCTCACTATCGATCTCACTCAACGGGGCACCACGGGACACCACGGGACACCACGGGACACCACGAAACATCACGGGAGACCGCGGGACACCGCGAGTCACCGCCGGACGGACGGACGGACGGGCGGGCGGGGGAGAATCATTTGTCTTGACTTCGCCCTAGCAACTGCGGACACCACGGGACACCATTGGACACCGCGGGACACCGCGGGGCCACCGCCTGGCGGGCGGGAGGGGGAGAATCATTTGTTTTGACTTCGCCCCAGCAACGGCGGATTCATTCCTCTCGCATCCTGGCTCCCGGGAGCGCGCACCTACTGCAACTTGAGAGGGGACTGGCCTCGGGGGCGCGCGTCTGAGCTACTTGAGAAGGTGTTGTGGCCAAGGGAGCGGGAATCTGTCGCAACGCATTCGGGATGGTGGCTCCAGGCGTTCGCATCTGTGGCATCTTCTCTCGAAGATTGTGGCCCCGGGCGCCCGCTGATTTGGCTGCCTCGGGAGCTCGTCACAGTCTACGAGTGGTTGTGGCCCTGGGAGCACGAGCCGGTCGTAATTTATGGAGATGTTGGGGGTACCCCTCAGAGACAGGGGTGACGGGAGTCCTGGTCAGACGTGTCTTGATATTTCCAGTTATCTAACTCTCCCCCCATGTTTTCTTAACAGGTACTTGTGGCCCCAGGGGCGCGCAGTTGTTTTGATTCTCAGGGAATGGTGACCTTGGGAGCGCGCATTTGCTGTTTCTTACATGCCTCAGGGGCAGCTTGAAATTCTGAGCACGTGATTCAGGAGTGGCAGCGCATTCCTCTTCGGCCCAGGGGACTGGCGCGTGATGGAGGAGGAGGAGGAGGAGGAGGAGCGGGAGAGGAGGAGGATCCCAATCTCAGGAAGCGAATCTATGGAGCAAGGCGAGCGAATTAGCGACGGGTCACGTTTCCATGCGACTTCGGCGCACTCCGTCGCCAAATCTGGCGGCGCTGATTCCGTGTTTCGCCCCGATTCGTGGATCTGGCGCCCACGGGCCAGATCCAAAGATTTGTATTCCACGTCAGCGTGCGTTCGAGAGGAGGAGGGAGATCCCCAGCTCCCCCTCTTCCTCCTCCTCCCTAGGCATCCGACGTCTTGATTCTTTGAATACAGGGCCCCCAGAAGTCCTAACCCCTTCCCCAGGGCTGGTCTCTCATGCCGAGTCGCTTTTTGACGGCCCCGGGGCCTGGCGAGGGCCCCTGGAGGCCGGCAGTGGCGAATCACCTCCGCCTTGACCCCTCCAGGACGCTGGATGCCTGGGTCCTGCTCCCGTGCTGGCGCTGCCGCCAGGGCCCTCCCCCCATTCGGAGCGGAGGAGGGAGGCGCAGGCCCGCCTGCGAGCGCCCGACGCCGCGGCCGCGGGCGCCGAGGAGGCGCGGCGCGCGGCTCGCGGAGGGGGGGGGGCGCGACCTCCGCTTCCTGGCGTGCCCAGGCCTCCCCTGCGATCCTGGCGCTGGGTGCTCGCTTGTGGGGACCCCCCTGGGGCCCGCCTCACGGATCTGTTCGACTCTACGCAGTTCGACTCCAGTTCCATTCAGTCTCGACTCAGGTTCGACTCCAGCTCGGCTCGGGTTCGACTCAAGCTCGACTCCAGCCGACGGACGTTCGACGCAGCTTCGACGCACGAGTAGAGCGAGCGAGTAGCTCCGGGAAGGTCCCCAGAATAAGCATCTAACTGGCGTCGCATTTTTTTCCATGCCTGGCGATTTCGCCCTACGTCGGGCCCCTGGACCCTAGCAGATGGATCCGGCTCGAAAGATGCAGCAGCCCTAATTATTGGGTTTAGTTGGGGCTCCGGTCGTGATTTTCTACGGTGGTGCAATCTGTTCGTGGCGTCGGATCTCCGTGTCTTGCGTCTTGAGCAACAAAAAGAAGACGCATGTTTCGTGCCGTCGTCGGCCTCTAGGGACCCTTGCAGGGCCCAAGGACCGTCAAAAACGACTCGGGATGAGAAACTGGCCCTGGGGAAAGGTTCGGGACTTCGGCGTACCCCGTATGGGAAACTCAAGACGGCGGATGTCTGGGAGGAAAGCTTCTTGACGTGTTTGGAGGTCTCGGAGGCCCCCAGAGGCGTTCGACGGTCCTCGGAGCTCTCGTCCCCCCTCTACCCCCTCGGCCCCCGTCTTTTCGCCGAGTCTCGGTGGCGACGAATGCGAACCCGATGAAGCAGCAGCAGCGTTCCTAGGACTTTGACCCCATCTCTCTCTCTCTCTCTCCGTGCAGCCTGCTATGCCGCTCGAGCCCCAGGCCGCGTCAGCGCCACACGAGATACGGGGACCCGCCCTCTGACTGCTAGGGTACCATTCGTTTTTGCCATGATCGCTGCAGCCATGCACTGATCATGTGATTTCGCTCATCCCCACGGCGGATGCATGTGCAGCCCCTCCGCCTCCCCTCCTTCTGTGCTCCCTCTTCCCCCTCCCCCTGGCGCCCCTCAGCACGGCCCTCTGCCGCCCGCGCAGATGCCGCACAAGGGCCCCGAGTTCAACTACACCGAGTACGACGAAAACTGGGGAGAGGAGTACGAGGCGTTCGGAAGTGAGTGGTGAGCAGGAGGAGTGTTGCATGTCGACGACGGTGGCGAGCGCGATGATGATGATGATGGTGGTGGTGGTGGTGGTGGTAAGAATGAGGATGAGGATGAGGATGAGGATGGATTAGGATGAGAATGAGGATGAGGATGATAATGAGGATGATGATTGAGGAATGATGATGATGCTGTTGCTGATGATGCTGCTGCTGCTGATGATGCTGATGATGATGCTGATGCTGATGATGCCGCTCATGATGATGATGATGATGATGATGATGATGATGATGATGATGATGCTGGTGATGATGATGATGGTGATCATGATGGTGCTGGTGGTGGTGGGGCTGGGGCTGAGGATGAGGATGAGGAGGATGAGGATGTGGATGAGGACGAGGATTGAGGATTGATGCTGCTGATGATGATTATGCTGATGATATGCTGATGCTGATGCTGACGATGATGCTAATGATGATGCTGCTGTTGCTGATGATGCTGATACTGATGATGCCGTTGATGATGATGACGCTGATGATGATGATGCTGTGATGATGATGGTGATGGTGATGGTGATGGTGATCGTGATGGTGATGATGATGATGATGATGATGATGGTTGCGACGGTCGTGGTGGTGTTGGTGGTGGCTAGGACGAGGATGAGGATGATGATGAATCTGATGTTGATGAGGATGCTGATGAGGATGAGGAGGTTTATGATTATTGAGGATTGACGATGAGGATGCTGCTGCTGATGATGACGATGATGATGCTGATGCTGCTGATGATGTTATTGATGATGACGATGACGATGCTAGTGATGGTGATGGTCTTGATGGTGACGATGATGATGGTGGTAATGATGATGCTGCTGATGCTGACGCTGCCGATGAGGATGATCAGGTTGCTGATGCGGCTGATGATGACGCTGATTCTGACGATGATGCTGATGATGATGCTGATGATGGTGGTGGTGATGCTGCTGATGATGATGCTGCTGAGCCTGATGATCCTGCTGATGATGAGCATGATGATGCTGATCATGATGCTAATGATGCTGCTGCTGATGATGCTGATGGTGATGCTGATGGTGATGCTGCTGGTGATGCTGATGATGAGGATAATTATGATGATAATGACGATGGCGATGCTGCTGATGATGATGCGGCTGACGATGATGCTAGTGCTGATGCTGCTGCTGATGATGATGCTGCTGATGATGATGCTGCTAATGCTGATGCTGATAATGCTGCTGCTGATGATGATGAGGATGATGATGCTGATGTTGTTGATGATGATGATGATGACGATGATGATGATGATGATGATGACGATGATGATGCTGATGATGACGATGCTGCTGATGATGACGATGATGATGCTGATGATGACGATGCTGCTGATGATGATGATGCTGATCATGATTGAGATGCTGATGATGCTGATGATGATGCTGATGACGATGATCATGCTGCTGCTGCTGATGCTGATGCTGATGCTGCTGCTGCTAATGAGCAGGATGATGAGCAGAATGGTGAGGCGACGCACGCACGAGCAGAAGGATGACGAGGCGGACCAGGCGACACATAAGGGCAGTGGACGACTGATAATGCTGAGGAGGGGCGGGAGCAGGAGGATGAGGAGGACGATGAGGAGGAGGAGGAAGAGGAGGAGGAATAGGAGGATCAGGAGGAAGAGTAGTGAGCGATGCATGATGCTGATGCATGATGCATGATTCATGGTGCATGCTGCTGACCATGACTATGACGGTTCTGGCAATGATGACGATGTCAGTGGTGACAATGACGATGACGACGCGACGGAGAGGGTGATGTTTGTGATGATGGTAGTGATCTCATGCTGGTGACGGCGATGATGACGATGCTATGTGGAGGGGGAGGACGAATGAGGAGGAGGAGGAGGAGGAGGAGGAGCACGAGGAGGAGGAGGATACCGACGACGATGGTGACGATGATGGTATTAGTGATGATGACGATGCTTCTAATGATGAGGGTGACGATGACAACGAGGACGATG